CTTTTCTTTGTGCTACATGGGGCCAGCCCCTGGCAGAACTGAAGACTGGGGAGTTTATCATGGCCCACCTCCCCACCCTTGTCCCCCTTTTCCCACTATTAGCCAGTGGCAGTGCTGTCTCCCCGTTAGATTAGGGCTTCTGCAGGGCAGAGATTGGGTCTTCCCTCCTCCCAGGTCAAGGGGCTTACCCTCCCCTTGATTAGGATCTTCACAGCAGGGGGACAGTTGATGCTGTGAGCTGGGTCTGAGCCCAAGTCCCATCTACTAGTGGGCCTGAGGGTGCCTGGCCTCTCCTCAAGGCTCTGTCCTGTGTGTCCCTCCCAGCAACTCCTTGGAATTATTCCATCCTTGCCTTGGCGGCTGTGGTGGTCGTGATAAGCAGCGTCCTCCTGGGAAGGAGCATCCAGGCAAACAGGTGAGGAGCTGGTCTGGTGGCGGTCTCTGGAGGGTGGGGGCCCTGTCCTCCTGGAGAGAAATCTAAGGAGGAGTCATTTAGGGACCTTGGCTGTCCACCCTTTGAGATAGCAAATGTAGCCTTCAGGATCCTTTGAGAACCCAAAGCTGTTAAAAACAAACAAACTGGCAACTGTTCCTGATTACCACCCCCTGGCCCTGGCCAGCAGCAGGCATGACACGGAGGAGTACAGCCATTTAAGAAGGTGACCTTGCTCCTCTCACCCTGTCGGAGAGCATCCCCCTCAGCAAGGTCAACTCAAAGACAAGAAGTCTGTCCACGGAGCAGCAGACACTGATCTGCTCCCCATAAGGCCCGAGCAGATTCTCTGGGTAGTCAGCTCTTACCACAGCTGGGTCCCTCATCTATGGCCAGGAAGTCTAAGGGTACCTTGAGTAAAACCAACCTGGAGAGAGGATAGGTTTGTGGGAGTTGTTGAAAGAATGTTAGGTTAAGGAAGTGGGCGGTGAGTAGGAGCCAAGGAAGGTGGCTGGGCAGGGAGTGATGTGGACACAGTGGGCTTCTAGAAACTGAACTGTATGTGTAGGCTGGTTTGGAGAAGTAAGCACCTGGAGGCAGAGAGATTATGCAGGAATTTTCTGCAGTACTGTGGGGGATGTGGTATGGGGTGACAAGGACCTGCGCTAAG